AGAAATCGAATTTCGAGGTCCCTAGCCCGAGTAATGAATTTTTATATGAAATTGTTAAGTTTAAGATTCTAAGATTTAAATAAACTAGGAAATTATTGTTTCCCTAGGTATCGGGTTCGAATTTCGATTCCGAAACTTGGTACAAGTCCGAAATATCAGTTAAGGCTTACCTGTAAAATGTGGTGTCAATCCGAGTGGTTTAAGGGCGTTTTGACCCGTTAGGAGGAAACTTAGAACTTGAAGGTTCAATGATTTGAATCATTTGGTTTTGGGGTTGATTCCCTTATTTAGCATTGTTTTAAGTATTTCGAGGGCTCGAGTAGGTCCGCCTCGTGATTTCAGACTTGTCGGTATGTTCGGGCGGGGCTCGGCAGCCGCGAGCGTCAAATGGTCGAGGTTCGAGTGAAGTTGAAAACTTAGGAAAAACCTTATCTGCTGCTTCTGTCATAACAGCTTCTGCGGCTCTTGGACCGCAGAAGCGAGACCGCAGAAGCGGTCATTTTATCGCAGAAGCGGAAGGGGCCAGGCCCAGGGGAAACCGCAGGAGCGGACCCCTGACCGCAGAAGCAGTCCATCCGCCCAGGCCCAGAACCGCAGAACCGGTGGGCTTTCCTCTTAAGCGGCCTTGCAGAAGCGAGGTTATGACCGCAGAAGCGGCCCAGGCCCCCTTGCCCATTTCCGCAAAAGCGGCTCATGTCCGCAGAAGCGGAACCCGCAGAAGCGGGATTCCTTCCGTAGAAGCGGAAATCACTGGGGGCAGAAGGGTTCATTAATACAAACCCAAACTCATTTCTTCCACATTACTCTCATCACTTGGCGATTTTGGTGATTCCAAAGAGGAGGTTTCAACATAACATTGCAAGGTAAGTAATCCCCACTCATTTTTAGTTCAAATACATAAACATTAGGTAGATTTAACACTAAAAATTAGGTAAAATCAAGGGATTTGAGCTAGACCTAGGGTTTAATGAAAACTAAGGTTTTATCACATAATTTGCTTGTAGTGAACTAGAAATCATATATTTGTGATCCTTAGTTGATTGAGAACAACTTCCTTCGAGAAATCTCGGAATCCGGGCACGTGGGCCCGGGGTCGAAATTTAGGAAACTTGTGTTAATGGTTAGGAAATTGCTTAAATAGCTAGAATTCAACCTTGTAAACCTTTATTTACTAGTTCTTACTTCGTTTGATTAGTTTGGGATTGTCCGGCTTCGAACTAAGGACTTGGGCTCGTTCTTGGACATTGGGAGTGCACTTTGGAGCGAGGTGAGTCTCCTTTCTAACCTTGTAAGAGGGAATTGTCCCCATAGAATTTTAAATGAGTAATTGTTGCTAAATGCGGGGGCTACGTACGTACTAGGTGACGAGAGTCCGTGCGTAGCTACTATATGATAATTGTTCGGGTAGTTTAGGACCCACGTCATGTCTAATTGGGGAATATCTCTTATTTTAAATTGCCAATATGATCATTTTGATTTGCTAGAGACTTGAGGAAATGAAAGGTGAACATATGAGTTTGTTGAGCCTTGGTAGGAATTCCCTTGTATGTAATTGAGCCTTATGTGCTTTTCTTGATATTTTCTTGATGATTATGGATCGGGCCGATCGCCTCGGTGATAATAGATGCATCTATGGTTCGTGCCGCTTGACCCTCGGCAGTGCACAATTTATTTTCTATTGGAGCGGGTTGTCGACCTCAGCATGATTGTGCATGATTTATATGCTTACATTTAGATATGACATGATCACTCATTTGATATGAAAAAGGGAAAACTGGTAATTTAATTATGACAAGAACATGAATATGACTCTTCTATTAAACGTGTGTTATTGGAGATCCTTCATGTTGTATATCTCACTTTATTATATTATATTATCTTGACCTTAGTAAGTATCAAGTCGACCTCTCGTCTCTACTTCTTCGAGATTAGACGGGATACTTACTGAGTACATGTGGTTTATGTTCTCATGCTACACTTCTGTACTTAATTGTACAGGATTTGAGGCAGGTGGATCTGGACATCATCCTGGTGCGCATCAGTGAGCACGCTTAGGGACTTCTACGGTGAGCTGCCTTCTCTCTCATGCCGATCCGTAGCCGAAGGAGTCCTTTCTTGTATTTTTGATTTCTGTCTATTCTGATTCAGACAGTAGGATAGTGTATTATTCTTTTGTGTATATTCTACTAGTCGCTCGTAGCTTGTGACACCAGGTTCTGGCACACACAGTAGTAGACATTTATTTTTGGGGTTGTATCGCTATTTTAGCACTTTATGATCTTTACTGGTCTTATCTTTAAATTCAAAAATCTAGTATAACTGTCTTTGGCTAAAGTAAAATGAGAACTTAATCACATTCCGCATCGGCTGGCCTGACAACGGTGTTAGGCGCCATCATGACCTATTATGGAAAATGGGTCGTGACAACATGGTATCAGAGCACTAGGTTCACGTAGGTCTCACAAGTTACGGGCAAACCTAATAGAGTCTTGTAGATCGGTACGGAGACGTCTGTATTTATCTTCGAGGGGCTATAGGGTGTTATGAAGGACTACTCTTTATTCATTCTCCATCGTGCAGTAGTCAGTGTACTAAGTTTCCTCTTCTATTCTCTCACAGATCGTGAGGACTCGTACCGCCGACGTTCCGGACCCGGGAGGAGCTGCTCCCCCCGTTGCTAGAGGCCGAGGTAGAGGCCGGGGGAGGGCACCGGCCCGTGGTAGGGGATGAGGGCGTCCCAGAGCTATTCCAGATGCACCACCAGCAGACCCTGCGAGGGATCCCATTATTGAGGAGCAGGGCGAGGCACCCGCAGCTGTGCCTACTCCGGTGGATTTCATGACTGCGCCGGGATTTCAGGAGGTCATGGGCCGTATGCTTCGGTTCATGGACATTATGACTCAGGCTGGTTTATTTCCAGCAGATGCAGCTACCTCACAGGCAGGAGGGGGAGCACAGACCCCTACCGCATAGGCTCCAGGTCATGCAGCCGCAGTTTATCATACTCCGGGTGCACTACCCGCAGAGGGGATCCAGCCAGTAGCTGCAGCAGCACCCCAGCCCAGGCCAGCTGTGGACGGCGATCCGCAAAAGTTATTAGACAGATGGACCAGGTTGCACCCTCCAGTCTTCGGGGGCGAGCTTCATGAGGATGCCCAGGATTTCATTGACAGGTGCAGGGATAGACTGCACAACATGAGGATCTTGGAGTCACATGGAGTCGACTTTAATACTTTTCAACTGGAGGGAAGGGCCCGTAGATGGTGGCAGTCTTACTTGCTTAGCAGGCCAGCAGGCGCTCCTCCCCTCACTTAGGGTCAGTTCACTCAGTTGTTCCTTGATCGGTACATTCCACCCTCTGAGAGGGAAGAGCTACGTCATCAGTTTGAGTATCTGGAGCAGAGTCATATGTCAGTGACCGACTATGAGGCGAGGTTCTCTGAGTTGTCTCGCCATGCACTCATGATACTTCCCACAGAGGCAGAAAGAGTACGGAGGTTTGTTGCGGGGTTACATCCCACTATCCGGTCGGGTATGGCTCGTGAGGTAGAGATGGGCACTGGATATGAGCTAGTACTTGAGATTTCCCGCCGGATTGAGGGCTACCGTTTGAGGGGTAGAGAGCAGATGCAGCAGGACAAGAGGGCCAGATTCTCAGGAGAGTTTAGAGGTGCCCCAGCCAGGGGCAGAGGTCACTTTGGGAGGGGTCAGCCCAGCAGGCCCCCAGCTCCAGCACCACCACCGGCTCAAGGTGCTCCAGCGCGCTCCTATTTCAGCGCCATGCCGGAGAGTTCTTATCGCCCACCAGCTATTCAAGGTTCATCCAGTGGGTATTCAGGTCCTCCGGAGTCTTCCGGTCCTTATTTCAGTGCTATGCCGGAGAGTTCTTACCGCCCGCCGGCTACTCAGGCTTCTTCTAGTGGGCCTTCTGGTATTCAGGGTCAGCCATCCGAACAGCAGGCCACCGCACCATGTTGTTTTGAGTGCGGGGACGCATGCCACATGAGGAGATACTGCCCCAGGCTTAGGGGCAAGGCAGTACAGCAGGGGCAGCAGCCTATGACTCCAGCACCAGCAGTCCAACCGCCTAGAAGTGGAGAGCAGACTGGTAGAGGTCGTTCCAGGGGTAGAGGCCAGACAGGGAGAGGTCAACCAGCTACTACCCTGTCAGTTGGAGGCCAGACAACCGGTGCTCCCGCTAGATTCTATGCTCTCCCAGCCAGGCCAGATGCATTGGCCTCAGATGCCGTCATCACAGGTATTATTTCCATCAGCGGTAGAGATGCATCAGTATTATTTGATCCAGGGTCTACTTATTCATATGTATCATCTCTGTTTGCTCGTTTCCTGGCTATTTCTCCTGAGCCTTTGGTGTTCCTGTTCATGTGTCCACTCTTGTGGGCGATTCTATGGTTGTGAACCGGGTCTACCGATCTTGTGTGGTTACTTTCTGTGGTCTTGAGACTAGAGCAGATCTCCTGTTGCTCGATATGATCGATTTTGAGGTTATTCTGGGCATGGATTGGTTATCTCCATATCACGCCGTTCTAGATTGCCATGCCAAGACTGTTTCTCTAGCGATGCCAGGGTTGCCGAGATTGGAGTGGAGGGGTTCCACTGTCGATACACCTAGCAGGGTCATTTCCTTCCTGAAGGCTCAACGCATGGTTGAGAAGGGGTGTTTGGCCTACTTAGCTTATGTTCAAGACACCACCGCAGAGTCTCCGACGATTGATTCAGTGCCAGTAGTCCGAGAGTTCGCCGATGTTGTTCCTTCTGATCTTCCTGGCATGCCTCCGGATCGTGATATTGATTTCTGTATTGATTTGGCTCCAGGCACTCAGCCTATATCTATCCCTCCGTACCGTATGGCTCCTAGGGAGCTGAAGGAGCTGAAGGATCAGTTGGAGGAGTTGTTAGCTAAAGGGTTTGTTAGGCCCAGTGTATCGCCATGGGGTGCACCAGTGCTATTTGTAAAGAAGAAGGATGGGACTATGCGGATGTGCATTGATTACCGCCAGTTGAACAAAGTCACCATCAAGAACAAGTATCCATTGCCCCGTATTGATGACTTGTTTGACCAGCTGCAGGGTGCTAGGGTGTTCTCTAAAATTGACCTGAGGTCAGGGTATCATCAGCTGAAGATTCGGGATTCAAATGTCCCGAAGACCGCATTCAGGACTAGATATGGCCACTATGAGTTCCTGGTGATGTCATTTGGCTTGACTTATGCTCCAGCGGCATTTACGGACTTGATGAACAGGTTGTTCAGGCCCTATATTGTTTCCTTTGTTATCGTCGTCATTGACGACATCTTGATATACTCGCATAGCCTGGGGGAGCACGAGCAGCATTTGAGAGTAGTGCTTCAGACCTTGCGAGAGCAGAAGCTTTATGCTAAGTTCTCCAAGTGCGAGTTTTGGCTAGAGTCAGTAGCATTCTTAGGGCATTTACTGTCAGGAGAGGGTATTAAATTCGACCCCAAGAAGATTGAGGCAGTTCAGAGTTGGCCACGTCCTACTTCAGTGACCGAGATCAGGAGTTTCTTGGGGTTAGCAGGTTATTACCGGCGATTTGTGCAGGGCTTCTCATCTATTGCATCACCTCTAACCAGATTGACCCAAAAGGGGGCTCCGTTCTGTTGGTCCGACGATTGTGAGGAGAGCTTCCAGAAGCTCAAGGAAGCCTTGACCACGGCACCAGTTCTTGTATTGCCTTCCGATTCAGGGATGTATACAGTGTATTGCGACGCTTCTCGCGTTGGCTTGGGATGTGTATTGATGCAGGAAGGGCGAGTTATTGCATATGCTTCACGTCAGCTGAAGGTTCATGAGAAAAATTACCCTGTGGACGATCTAGAGTTGGCGGCGATTGTTCATGCTCTTAAGATATGGAGGCATTATTTATATGGAGTGTCATGTGAGGTCTATACGGACCATCGCAGCTTGCAGCATTTGTCAAGCAGAGGGATCTTAATTTGAGGCAGCGCAGGTGGCTTGAGCTACTAAAGGATTATGACATTACCATTCTTTATCATCCAGGCAAGGCAAATGTAGTTGCGGATGCCTTGAGTAGGAAGGCGGAGAGTATGGGTAGCTTGGCATTCTTTCCTGCTGAGATGAGACCATTAGCTTTGGACGTTCAGTCTTTAGCTAACAGACTTGTGAGATTGGATATTTCAGAGCTCAGCCGGGTCCTAGCATGTGTGGTTGCTCAGTCTTCGTTGTTGGGGGAGATTAAGGCCCGACAGCTCGATGATCCACATTTGGTAGTTCTCAGAGAGACGATACTTCAGGGAGGTGCCAAGGAGATTTCTATTGGCAAGGATGGTGTGTTACGGCTGCAGGGCCGTGTATGTGTTCCTAATGTTGATGGCTTGAGAGAGAGGATTCTAGAGGAGGCCCACAGTTCGAGGTACTCCATTCATCCAGGAGTCAAAAGGTACTCTGTTGGATCCTCTATATAGCATTAGCGTTCTCCGATTGGGATGAAGAAGGCTTCATTTCTCACTATCCAAACACTATCAACCCTATGCAAACCCTTTGAGCCGGTTACTTTTCTTTGATTACCCTCTTTGGAACCTGAAAGTGTTAATACAAAGAAAAAAAAACTTGAAATAAAAAACTGAAAAAAAGAAGAAAAGAAAATACAAAA